CTAGAGATTAGAAACAGACCACATGCTGGCCCAAACCACAGGTGTGCTTTAGCTGGACTGGGGGCAGGAAGTCTGGAAAACTTTTAATAAGGTGTATTTTTTTAAAATCGAAAACAAATCGGTTATTTTAAAAATGGGATGATTTCACATAAAAATCTGAGTTTCCTGCTTCTCTTGGAAAATTAGAGACTCTGCAAATACAAGCCCCTATCATCACCTGCACCTGCGGGAGCATTGGCTTCAGGGGGCAGGTGCTCCTGGCTTACTGTAGGCTCCACCCAGCACGATTACTCACATTCTGCCCCCAAAATAAGGTGATGACATAAGCCTGTCCTCTGAATCAGGACACCTTTGAGAGTGAAAGTGATATGTTATTAATAACCACAAATAAACCAGACAGATCAGGGAAAACTGGAAAACAGACTCCCCCTAAACTACAGAGTCGGGGGCTTTGTCATCTCTGGGTCCCACACGACACACTTCCTGCCACATACATGCTCAATAAATGGTCATCACAACAACTAGGGCATCTTGAGCATTTGCTTAATGCAAGCTTGTCCAATCCATGGCCCGCAGGCCTAGGACAGTTCTGAATGTGGCCCAACACAAATTCGTAAACTTTCTTAAAACATTATGAGGCCGGGCGCGGTGACTCACGCCTGTAATCCCAGCACTTTGGGAGGCGGAGGCGGGCAGATCATGAGGTCAAGAGATTGAGACCATCCTGGCTAATATGATGAAATCCCGTCTCTACCAAAAATACAAAAATTAGCTGGGTGCGGTGGCGGGTGCCGGTAGTCCCAGCTACTTGAGAGGCTAAGGCAGGAGAATCGCTTGAACCCAGGAGGCGGAGGTTGCAGTGAGCTGAGATCTCACCACTGCACTCCAGTCTGACAACAGAGCAAGACTCCATCTTAAAAAAAAAAGAAAAAAGAAAAAAAAAAGGAGTTTGAAGTTTTTTGCATTTTTTTTTAAAGCTCCTCAGCTATTGTTAGTGTTAATGTATTTTATGCGGGGTCCAAGACAATTCTTCCAATGTGGCCCAGGGAAGCCAAAAGATTGGACTCTCCTGGCTTAATGTATTAGCTCGACAGTCCTCCCAGGAGCCTTATGAGGTAGTGACTGTTGTCTGCATCTTGCAGATGAAGAAACTGAGGCACAGATATATTTAATAACTGTAACCTGTCTCGACCGCACGGCTAGGAAATGGGAAACAAGACAGTTTGGGTCTAGAGGTTGTGTGTTGGCAAAATCAATCATTCGCTCTTAGAGTCCTTCCCACCTCTACAAACTTCGGGTTCTTTTGATGTTTTTCCTCTTGTTTTCTCCTTTCTCAGGTCTCTCTTTTTTTTCTTTTTTTTTTTGAGACGGAGTCTCACTCTGTCGCCCAGGATGGAGTGCAGTGGCCAGATCTCGGCTCACTGCAAGCTCCACCTCCCGGGTTCACGCCATTCTCCTGCCTCAGCCTCCTGAGTAGCTGGGACTACAGGCGCCCGCCACCTCGCCCGGCTAGTTTTTTTGTATTTTTTAGTAGAGATGGGGTTTCACCGTGTTAGCCAGGATGGTCTCGATCTCCTGACCTCGTGATCCACCCGTCTCGGCCTCCCAAAGTGCTGGGATTACAGGCTTGAGCCACCGCGCCCGGCCAGGTCTCTCTTTTTGTCCTTTCCTCCTTTCTCTCTCGTACTCTGTCCTCTTCGTCTCCCTCTCGCTCGCTCTTTCTGTTCCACCCACTCTTGCTCTCTCTGTCTCTCCCATCTTTGTCTCTCTGTGTCTCTAACTGTTGTTCCTGCTCTTGGGAACTCTCTGTTTCTGTCTCTCTGTATTTCCCTTGACATCTTTTTTTTTTCTTTTCTTTTTTCTTTTTTTTTTTAAGACAGAGTTTCACAGTGTCACTGAGGCTGGAGTGCAATGGTGTGATCTTGGCTCACTGCAGCCTCAACCTCCCAGGTTCAAGTGATCCTCCCACCTCAGCCTCTCAAGTAGCTAGGACTATAGATGTGTACCACACCTGGCTAATTTTTGTATTTTTTTGTACAGATGGGGTTTTGCCAAGTTGCCCAGGCTGGTCTCAAACTCCTGGGCTCCAGCGGTCCTCCTGCCTTAGCCTCCCAAATTGCTGGGATTGCAGGCCTGAGCCACTGGCGCCCAGCCATGACTCCTTTCTTGAAAGACTCTGTCTCTTTTCTTGCCATCTCTCTGCTCTTCCTTTTTCTGTCCTCCCTTTTTCCTCCTCCTCTTTCTCCTTCTCTCTGTGTCTCTCCCTCTCTCTTCCGCACATGATGCATTCTCACCAACCATGACTAAACACGTATGCGATAGAAGAATATGTTTTCAGTAACTCACTGTGGGTGCTGGCTTGTAGAAATCCCACAAGCCAGGCCCTGTGCCTTCACTACACTTTTGGTGAGAACTTCTGTGGACAGAGGCACAAAAGCCTCAAGCTGTGAGATTCAAAATCCAGTAGTTTAGCCAGCCCCTCAGCACTCCCAGCTTGTGCCTCCATCCTTGTTCAAAACAATGAGTTGGAAAGTGTCTTGATGACTTTCAGCAGACAGACCTGCAAAGAAGAGAAGCTGGTCTGGACTCCGGCCTTCCTTCACAACACACTGACAGGTAAATAAAATTAATGGCATGTGTCTCTTTTTTGCAAGAGAAGGATAACCACAGTATATCCTTTACAACAAATATGTATGTTCAAAGCACATGAAATGAATGTCTCTTGAAGGACAAAACAGCCTTGGAATATCATTTTGAAGCCAAGGAGAAAAGTAACTTTTTCTGGCTGGGTGCAGTGGCTCATGCCTGTAGTCCCAGCACATTGGGAGGATGACTCAGGAGGATCTCTCAAGCCCGAGAGTTTAAGACTGGCCTGGGCAACATGGCGAAGCCCCCATGTCTACAAAAACACAAAAATTAGCCAGGCGTGGTGGCGTGCACCTGTAGTCCCAGCTACTCAGGAAGCCGAGGTGGGAGGATGGCTGGAACCCAGGGTGCCAAGGCTGCAGTGAGCTGAGATTGTACCACTGCACTCCAGCCCAGGTGACAGAGTGAGACCCTGTCTTGGGAAAAAAAGGTAACTTTTTCTTAACATGTAAACAGGGAGAAAAGTAATAGAAAAGGAGAAAATGGTACTCCTCAGCAGTGAAGTGAGTGAAAAATTAAGTGGGGATAGCAGAGAGGGAAAGAGAGGGGAAGGGAAATTAAGCAGAAGTCACAGTAGCCTGAGGAATGAGACAGAGGAGGATGAGGGGGAGGAGAGGCAGAGGAAGAGGAGGAGGAGGCAGAGGCAGAGAAGGAGGAGAAGGAAAGGAGGAGGAGCTGAGATTGGGGGAAGAAGGTGACTGATCTTAACAAATTTCAGATGAGACTTCAGCAGCCCCAGCTTAGGCAACTACCTGGTTGGCTCTGCCCAAATGAATGTCCACTTACGGAGGGAGGGAGAAGGAGGAAACCTGGAGACCAAAAGGGTCCCGGTGAAGTAGATAATCAGTCTCAAATCCCAGACTGGGCTCCACCCTTTTGTTCACCTTGGTTTCCGAATGGGTGTCCCTGTGCTCTGGAGGGGAAGTGTTCAGACAAAGGCTCACTGGTGGCGATGAGTCAGGGCCCCACCCAGGCCCTACCAGCCCCAGGAGGCCTCTCCTTGCCCATAGGCCTGACAGCGGCTGGGTGTTATCAGGAGAAACCAAGAAACAGTAGGGGCATGGGAAGCCATTCAAAGTCACTCCAAAAGACCTGCTGTGGCCATAGGGTCTAGCTGCCAGAGCCCTGTAGCTGGGGTGGTTCCATTCATCCTGGCAATTAATGGTGAGTTGGCTGGCCAGTGTTTGCCATTTCAATGTCAACAGCCCAAGGGAGACAGCCCTGTGGAGCGGGATCAGCCTAGCTATATGATCTGTTACTTGGCCTGGCCGGATGGCTCAAGCCTGTAATCCCAACACTTTGGGAGACCGAGGCGGGTGGATCACTTGAGGCCAGGAGTTTGAGATCAGCCTGACCAACACAGGGAAACCCTGTCTCTATTAAAAATACAAAAATTAGCTTGGCGTGGTGGCGCACATCTGTAATCCCAGCTACTCGGGAGGCTGAGGCAGGAGAACTGCATGAACCCAAGAGGTGGAGGTTACAGTGAGCCGAGATCACACCACTGCACTCCAGCCTGGGTGACAGAGCCAGACTCCATCTCAAAAAAAAAAAAAAATCTGTTACACACTATTTCCACCATCAACACCCTTCCTTTAGCTGTAAGACCTGAGAGGGCAGGAGACCTGTTGTAGATCCCACAGCATACCCAGCAATTGACCTACAGACTGGTATGCAGCAGGTGCTCAATAACTAAACAAGTTAGCATGCATTCAACTCTCCCTGCTGCCACAGACCAGCTGTGTGACCCTGCTCAACTTCCTTAACTTGTCTGAGCTGCTACTTCCCTTATCAGTACACAAGAGAGTGCCAGTGAAAGCATAGACTATTGCCTTCCCACCTTTGTGAGATAAGAAAGCCGGAGCATCCAGTCCATAGTTGTCATCAAAATATGGTGGGGGTGGAATGGAGGAGCTCCTTTCCCTTTCCAAAAGTCTGCAGCTTCTGTTGCCGCTAGTTCCGAGGGTGTCGTACAGATGTTACTTTTTAGAAAGACGGTGTGGGGATGTGGTTAAGTGCTCATGATCTGGGGGCTGAGTACCCGAGTTCAAATGCTACCTCCTCCACCTGTCACTCCGTGGTGGCCACCAGCAAGCCACTTCATCTCGCTGAGCTTGTTTTCCCATGTGTAAAACAGAATTGTCAGGAGGCTCACGTGAGATAAATCCCACATCCCTGGCACATAGTAGATACTCCATACACCTTAGCCATGATCACCAGTTTCCACCTCCCAACCCTGTGATGGAGATGTGACTCTCCCCAGGGTGCAAAAGAGGAAACCAGGGCTGGCCAGGTGGAGAGGCCCTCTCCTGACAGCAGAACCAGAACCAGACACCCTTATCCCACCCACCCAGGCCCACCACAGCTGCCAAACATGAGCTGATGAGACAGCCCTCGTGGTCTCCACCCACTGCCCTGGTAGAGAAGTGAAACATGAACCCATCAGTGCAAGACAGAGGAAGAGGCACCAGCGAAGGTAAGAAGAGTCGGGTGGCCATGAATTTTGTTGAAGGGACAGTCCAGGACAAGGTCAAGTCCAGGGTGGCAAGAGGGTGGAGGCGGTGGGAGGATAGTATGACAAGAGGGGTATGGGGGCTGAGTCGGCTGGCGGCCAGGGGTGAAAAGCTGGTCCCGAGAATGAGGAAGGAAGCCTTTTTATCAGTGTTAACAAGAACAGAGAGGGAAGTTCTTTGCATCTGGCCAGATACCTCAGCTGTGACCTCCTGTCTTTCAGGAGGGGGTCCCTGCAAGTTTTGCTTTCAAAAGTCTCTTGGGAGAAAACACAAGTCCCTGATTCTTAGAAGCTGCCTTCATCTTAACTAAAGAAATCCCTCAGTGGCTTTTTGGTCAGCACAACAGGATTAGCCTTTCTGACTGGTGGGCTTCCAGCCTCTAAGAATAGCTGGATTTCCCTTGCTTTCACCTACCCATTTGCAGGTGAGAAAACTGAAGCTGGAACCTGGCCTCCAGTCCTGTCTCTGCCATTAGCAGCCCTGGGATCTTAACGCCTCCACCAGCTGAGCTTCAGTTTGTCCATCTGTAAAATGGAGGGTTGAGGCCACATCTTCCTTTTAGTCCTTCCCCTTCCCTTCCCTCCAGAGCAAGCGATGTGGAATTCTAAGGCCAAAGTCACCCTGATTGAATGGTGTGGATTAGTCAAGAACCCAAGATGACCCAAGGATATGAGATTCCAACCTCCCGCAGGCAAGCAGAAGTGCTCCCTCCTACATAGGGCCGCCCTCCTTCCTGAGCAACTGGGCTGATTTGTGGAAGAAACAGCTGTGCTTTCTGGTGAGCTCCAATGCCAAACATGTAGGCCTTGGAGGAGGCAGGATGTTCCATCAACAGTCATTGTTCACACCTGTGCTCTATGGGCCAGGCATCAAGCCAATAGTAACACCTCATTTCACCCCACAACAACCCTGTACCAAGCACACACCCATTTTACACCTGAGGAAGCTGAGGCTTGGAGAGGCACTGCACCCAGGGTCATGTAACCACAGGTGACAAAATGAAGATGCAAATGCAACCTGAGTGATTCCTTTTGACGGAGCCACACCATTTAAATCAATGCTGGGTGATTGGATTATATGTAATTTCTTTTTAATTAAAAACATTTTTTTTTTTTTTTTTTTGGCCAGACACAGTGGCTCATGCCTGTAATCCCAGCACTTTGGGAGGCCGACGTGAAGTGGATCACTTGAGGTCGAGAGTTCGAGACCAGCCTGGCCAATACAGTGAAACCCTGTCTCTACTGAAAATACAAAAAGTTAGTAGGGTGTGGTGGTGGGCAACTGTAATCCCAGCGACTTGGGAGGCTGAAGCAGGAGAATCGCTTTAACCTAGGAGGCAGAGGTTGCAGTGAGCTGAGATCGCGCCACTGCATTCCAGCCAGGGTGACAGAGTGAGGGATTCTGTCTCAAAGAAAACCCAAAAAACAAAACAAAAACATTTTTTTCCCCCATAATGAACAGGATTGCTTGTGTTTTAAAAGGGAGTAACCAATCACAGCACTTGCAAAGAACATTATATGTTGCCTGGAATCTGATTTAAACTATTCCATGGGGGTGGTGGTGCAAAAATAAAGCAAAATTATCTGTGAATTGATAGCCCTTGAGGCTGAGTATTGGGTGTGACGTTCATTATCCTATTCTCCTGTAGTGAACGTGTTTGAGAAGTTCCATGGTATTAAAAAATTTTTTGATTTAAAATTTAATAAGTCTAAATTCAAGATAAATGAACTGGCCTGGGAATGCCCTGTCATGGGGGTAGCAGTCCTTCGCCCCACCCCACAGCTGAAAGCATTTTAAGGTCGGCTTCAAGAAGGTATTCATTAAGGCCTCCTGGTTCTGCTCTCCCTGAACCACAATGGCTCTCTCTGCGTCCGGGAGAACAATCTTCCCCCAGATTGCTGGCCAAGTCGAGACTGCGCATTAGGGATCCCACAGCCAAGCTGTGGTTTTATGACAGAGTTTGGAACCATATGTGGTTCACGCTCACTCTGTCCAGAGACTTGGGGAATCTCTCATAAATATTCTCAGCAAAGCCACATCCTGGGACACCCAGAAAACTGGCAAAGATGAGACCTCTGGCTTCCACAAGATGGCCAAGCATCTGGGAGTGGCCCCTCTGCACTGGCCCCCCTCAGGCCCAGCACATGCTGCTTCTGCCTGTCCCCAGAGTCCCTGGGGAGTTTGACTTGTCTTCCCAGACCCCTCTGAAATAAGGAGACCTCGCCATGTACAGGCCTTCCCTGTCCTCAGACAAGTGGAATCACCTGTCCACTGGCCTGTATTAGATTGAGCTATAGTCATTCATTTAGTCAGTAATTATTTATTCAATTATTATTTATTGAGCATCAGCTATATGTACAGCCTTCCGTGTCCTCAAATAAGTAGAATCACCTGTCTAATGGCCTGTATTATGTCGAGCTCTAGTCATTCATTTATCAATAATAATTTATTAAGCACCTACTATATGCCCTAGGATTCTAGCATATAGCAGAGAGATGGCCCAGGTAGCATATACAGCATATAAAAGACACAGTCCCCATATTCCAGGAGCTTCTAATTTCCTAGAGGAGAAAGGCAATAATCGATAATTAATACTATTAATCGTCTCATTATAATTCTGACAAATGCTTTAGAGAAGTGCAGGCACTGTGAGGGCATCAGGAATGTGATCTGATTGAGTGAGAAGGAAGGGAGTGGAGAGGATTCAAAGAAGGCTTCATGAGCCTTGGCAACACAGTGAGACCCCACCTCTATCAAAAAAAAAAAAAAAAAAAAAAAAGTCAGGTATGGTGCCCTGTTTCTATCGTCCTAGCTACTTGAGAGGCTGAGATAGGAGGGTCTCTTGGGCAAAAGTCGAGGATGCAGTGACCTGTGACCGCGCCACTGCACTCCAGCCTGGGCAGCAATGCGACACTCTGTCTCAAAACAAAACAAAATCAAAGGCTTCTTGGAGAGAATCAAGTTTAAATTGAGATCTGAACATTTGAGGCATTAGCCAGCCAATCAGAGAAAAGGGGGTTATTCTAGAGAGAGGAAGCAGCATATGCAAAGATCAGATGGACCATGGCTCCTTCAAGGAAGTGAAACTATACCGTGTGGACTGTGTGGTATGAGGACTATGACAGGGAAGGAGATGGTAGAGATGGCAGAGAAGGAGCTGGGGGCAGGTCACGAAGGAGCTTGAAGGCCAGGTTAAGGATGATGGAGTGCTCATGAGGTAATAGGTGTGTGTGGAGGGGTGAGTAAATTGTACCTAAAATGAGTGCTTTCGTAGCTGGGGAGCTGATTGGGTCAGAACAAGGTAATGTGGATGCTGCAGGGACTAGGCCAGCCCACACAGCACATTTGTAAGAATTAGGAGAAGGTGCCCCTCTGGGAAGATGCAGCCCCATAGGCTCATGCTTAGGAAAGGGACCTGACCTGAATTTCAGCCCCTCTATGCCTAAGCCAGCACCCTTGTGCAGTCGGCAACCTACACAACTGTATACAATGGCCACAGATGCCAGGGAATAGTCAGAAGGGTATAACATTTGTTGACAAATCTGTCTCCTCCACCTTAAGCACCATGGGTTCTGAGTTCTTGAGCTCCATATCCATATTGTAACCTCAGTACACATAGGAGATGCTCCTATTATTTGTCAAACGGATTGTTCTTTGGCTACTTGTTTTTTCTTCAGACTTTCTGTCTTCCTGTCCTTCTAAATTCATAACGGCTTCCTCTCAATGCACTCCTGCTAGGGTTAGAAAGCACTGTGTTGGCTAGTTTAAGGTTTTTTTGGTTTTTTTTTTTAAAGACAGGGTCTCGCTCTGTCACCCAGGCTTGAAGTGCAGTGGTGCGATCTCTGCTCACTGCAGCCTCCGCCTCCCAGGTTCAAGTGATTCTTGTGCATCAGCCTCCTGAGTAGCTGGGACCACAGGCATACACCACCACACCCAGCTAACTTTTATATTTTTAGTAGAGATAGTGTTTCGCCATGTTGCCCAGGCTGGTCTCGAACTCCTGGCCTCAAGCAATCCACCTTGGCTTCACAAAATGCTGGGATTATAGGCGTGAGTTACCACATCTGGCTCACTTTGACTTTTTAATCCTGACATCTTACCCTCTGTCCATTCAACAGAAACTTGGCTATGGCCACACAGCTAGGAAGGTGGGCAAGTGGTGCTGGGTAGGAAACTGTCAAGCCCTGGGGGTGTGGTCCAGGCTGGATTCCCTACCTTCTGGTGGGGATTCTTGTGGCTTAATCTCCGTACTTTGGATCTGTGAATGTCAGAGCTGAAAGGAACCCTTTAGGGCCCCGTTTTACAAATGGGGCAACTGAGGCACAGAGAAGGGCTGGGAATTACTAGAAGCCACTGAGTAAGAGCCAGAGCAGAACTGGAAACTAGGTCCCTTGACATGTTTAGAAGAAGCAGCTAGCTAGCTATCAGGAGTGGAAATTAGAAGAGAAAGACCAAGGAGGAGAAATGGCTCTCTGAGGAGGGTGTCTGATTGTGATGGCTGTCAGTGGGGCTACGAGGGATTAGAGCAGGATTTGGGAGAGTCCTTGATCACTGTTCAAAGGGAAGAGAGGGCCAAGAAAATAGGACTTCACCAAGGAGTGGACAGCCCTCTAAACTGGAATCCATTAGGATCCAGCCTGGCCATAGATCTCCAGACGCTAAACAGAATTTCTTGTTCTGGGCCTGGTCAGTTTGGAAGTCCTTGGTCAGTAGCATTTGGCTGGGAGCAAGCTGCCGGATGGCCTGCTCTGAGAGCACTTTGTGAAATCAGAGGCAAGGCTTGGTTCCCCTTCCCGGGAGCCTGCACTCCAGGTACCTCTGTGAGGCCCCACTCCAGTTCTCTGTCAGCATCTGCTCGGGGCTTTCCTCCTTCTAGGTCTTCATCACAGCTCCTCCTATGTCACATTGCCTCGGGTCCCACCAACACTGCCCTGAGCTGGAAAATCCCTCTGAGCCCGAGCAGCCCGTGACCATAGAGGCAGGAAACTATGACACTCGAGGCACACAGGGTGTGAGGTTTATTCTTGGTATGTGGTTGGGAAAGGCGGGGTTGAATGGGGGTGGGGTGGGATGGGATCCTCAAGAGAGATAGAGAAATCCAAAAAGAAGGAACCCCTTTGAGAATATCAGAGTAGTTTTCTTTTCTTTTCTTTTCTTTTCTTTTTTTTTTTTTTGAGACAGGGTCTCGCTGTGTCACCCAGGCTGGAGTGCAATGATGTGATCTTGGCTCACTGCAATCTCTGCTATCTGGAGTCAAGTGATTCTCCTGCCTCAGCCTCCTGAGTAGCTGGAACTACAGGTGCACACCACTGCACCCGGCTAATTTTTGTATGTTTTGTAGAGTCGGGGTTTCACCATGTCGCCCAGGCTGGTCTCAAACTCCTGGCCTCAAGTGATCTGCCCACCTCAGCTTCCCAAGGTGCTAGGATTACAGGCATGAGCCACTGCACCCTGCCTCAGAGTAGTTTTCTTTCCCAGCATGTTCCCTTTATTTCAAGCCCCAGGGATTGTCTCTCTTCCTTGGGGTAGCCTCTGGAGGTGGGGGAAGCAGAGGGGCATTTTAGGATCAAGGGTTCAGTCCCTCAATCAGGGACCCCAACCTATAGAGTTTAGTAGTAGCAATTATAGTAACATAGGGAATATTGTAATTAACTGATCACTTTCTAGATGCCGGGTTTTAAGTATCTAGTACAGTGCCTGGAACACAGTAAGTCCTCAATAAATGGTAGCTTGATTGTATGATTGTAATCCACCTTAAGAAGTGGCATGAGGCCAGGCACGCCTGTAATCCAAGCCCTTTGGGAGGCCAAGGCAGGCGGGTCACTTGAGGTCAGGAGTTCAAGACCAGCCTGGCCAACATGGCGAAACCCCATCTCTACTAAAAATAGAAAAATTAACTGGACATGGTGGTGGGTGCCTGTAATCCCAGCTACTTGGGAGGTTGAGGCAGGAGAATCTCTTGAACCTGGGAAGCGGAGGTTTCAGGGAGCTGAGATCATGCCATTTGCCAGCGTGGGTGACAGAGGCAGGAATCCCAATCTCATTTTAGAGATGGGAAAACAGATTCAAAGACCACAAGTCATTTTTCCAACATGGTACAGCTGGCTATTCATTCGCCCACTGATTCCATAAGTATGCATGGAGTCCTTGCTGTGTGGCAGCCACTGCTCTAGATGAG